ACAATACTATTTGACTTTTATTTATGGTTGAAAAAGTTTGAATTTGGCGTAAAATTTATGGACGTTACAAAAATACTATTTTACTTATTATAAAAACAAAATTTTTGGGACCATATTTTAGGATGTTTCACCTTAGCTTGTTTACTTCGACGCAAAAATGTAATTTTATCACTTTATAAAACTAAAGCTGAAATTCATTTAACGATTCTAGTTGGGATTCAATTATTTCCACTATTTAAATTCAATCAATCAGTTAACTGAGGGGGTGTTTGGGAGTGCTTTTAGATAAAAGTGTTTATTGGCTTATAGTGGTTGTAAAATGAGTTTTTTTTAAAAGTTGTTGGATTAACTTTTACGGTGAAAAAACCTATAAGTCAATAAGTTAAAAAGTGTTTTGTTTAAAAAGTGTTTTTTGAAGTTATTTTGGTTAAAAGCCAAAATCAATTCCATAAAGCCAAGTTTTACATGCTTTTTAAAAAGTATTTTTTTGAAGAAACGTTTCTTAAAAACGTTTTTAAGTTTGCAAAACACTTTTTTTTTCACTTTTTAGTTTTTCGAAAAGCCAATAATTTAATAATAAACTGTTTTGAAAAGCAACACCCCTAGAGTTTTCTTGCTTTAAAATCTTTTCCGGAAATTTGATCCACTCAACAAACACAAATCAATCATGGGGTATCTTGATTCAGTGATATAATCAGTCAACCCAAATCTTCCTGGTTGTGGTGTTTCTCCGGTCACCAGAGGTAGTCTCAGCCAAGATTCAAAGTTTAGCTATGGCTACGCTAGCTCCCGCGGAAAGAGATCTTCAATAGAGGATTTTTACGAGATAAGATTCGAATGTGTGAATGGAAAGAAAATCGGTCTCTTCGGCGTCGTTGATGGCCATGGCGGAGCTCGAGCTGCAGAATTTGTGAAACACAATCTTTTCACAAATCTTCTCAAACATCCAAAGTTCATCTCCGACACCAAATCCGCCATAGCCTAAGCATACAGTCACCCGAAAAAGAATTTCTAAAATCAGAAAACAATCAGATGAAAGATGCAGGATCAACAGCCTACACTGCCATTATCGTAGGTTCGTGTTTACTTGTAGCAAACGTGGGGAATTCCATAGTTGTTATTTGTAGAGGTGGTAAGGCGTATGCTGTTTCTAGAGATCATAAACCGGATCAAAGCGATGAGAGAAGAAGGATTGAAGATGCGGGTGGTTTTGTTATGTGGGTTGGGACTTGGAGAGTTGGTGGTGTTCTTGCGGTTTCACCTGCTTTTGGTGATAGGTTATTGAAACAGTATGTGGTTGTTGATCCGGAAATTGAAGAAGAAAAGATTGATGGGTCGCTTGAGTTTCTTATGCTTGCTAGTGATGGACTTTGGGATGTTGTCACTAATGACGAAGCTTGTTGCCATGATTAAACCGATTCAGAGCCCTGAAGATGCGGCAAAGATGCTGATGCAGGAAGCTTCACAGAGAGGTAGTGCAGATAATATCATAGTAGTCGAGGCCTCTTTCTTGGATAGTCAAGATGCATAAAACTTCTTGAGCTCTTAAGGTTTAGGACAAGACAGACAAATTGTATAATGTTTGACTAGGATTCAACGATGTCAATGAACAAAAATTGAAATATTTTTGTCTCACCCAAAAGGATGAAATATGATTGGAAAAGTACTTGTTTGCCATATTTTATTTGTAGAAAAGATGTGAATGTTCTTGTCCTTGTCATAAAAAAATGGCCTTAATTGCGTGGATGTTTAAAGTTATGTAATTGAAAGGTGTGTATAATTCCACAATTGATTTATTTCTCTTTATTACTTGTTTTTGGGTTGTAAATTCTTTACTAGCTTCTTGGTTACTCTTGTTCTCAGTTTGCACATATTCAAACATTTTTTAATTTTTTATTTGGATTCCTATATTCTATATTCTATGTCAGCCAATCATTTATGTGAATGTAAAAGTTCCTCGAGGTCGTTCACTATTTTGTCATAGTCAATCTACTACCACAAACTTTTTTGTCCATAAGCTTATTTATTTTGTAGAAGTTTTTGTGTTGTTGATAAATCGTTTTAAGTTTTGTGAATAGGTGTTATTTAATTTATTATTTATCTTTTATTTATATTCAAAAGAAAAAATATCTACTATCATGTAAACCAGTCTCACAACCAACATGCTAGAGGTAAATCACAATGTCTCCGGTCTTAATATCAAACCTCAACATGAGACATTAGTTATGGATTCTCACCTCCTTACTAGTAAGAGACAACCAAATTATGGTGTGTATGTTGTTAAGATAAGGTTTTTGGAACAAAATGGTGACAACACAGAGTAACGAATGCAACAATCTCCTTCGAGTTTTGTGTGGCTGATGTGGCTTTCTCGTGGGACCCAGTAGACTTTTCGCCCTCCTTCGAGTTTTGTGTGGTGTCTAACTAAGAATCTGTCTTCAAGTTGAAATGATGCGTAATGAGCAGCCATTAGTAGTTGTTCTTGGAGCTTTGAGAATGCAAAAGGTGTTAGGATTGAAGCTGCATGGGATTCCATGGGAGCTCCCTTTTTAAGCAGTAATTTTGATTCCTTTGAAAGCTCTTGATCTTATGAAAGCAGCACAGCACCCATATCCTTCATCAGAGACTAATACCATGAATGAAGAACTTGTGCCCTCTATAAACAAGTGATCTGTTCTCACACCCTAAGCACCATACATGACCCTGCAACTCCAAAATCTCCTTCATTTCTGCCATTTCGTATACAAACTTAATAACCCTAAGAGCCCTATCTAACTTCTTCACTTCACGCCTTAACATTTTCTCTTCATCTGATATCAAAATCTTCCCAACACACAAATAACACTTGTTCCCAACATCACCCTCAGAAAACCAACAGCAAATATCAAGCTCAATATCCCTAATACTTCCATAAAGATAATACAATAAAAGTGTGAACAAACATTTAGATGAATGACCCAAAGATTTAGTCAACTTCTTCTGAACTAAACTTTGTTGATGTCTCACCTCTTTGTATCCAATATTCTTATCCACCAAAACATCTTTTATCTGTGACAACCCTTCTTTCATGGTCTCAAGCTTTGTCACATAAAAGAAAAATCCCTCTTCATTCTTTAAACAGATCATCAAATCATTAATCATTTCAAGAAAATCTTCCCATTTAGCATAAGGTGGCAAGTTTGCATCTTTTTTAAGTGTAAGTCGCATCCATGAAGTTGACTCAGGGTCATAAGACATGACATCATCTAAGAACTTTAGACAGTTAACCACTATTTGTTGAGCCATTATGCATCCATAATCATTAACACTCATTTCAAATTTTAATTGATTTAGTATCTCCTCGAGGGCACCTGTCCATATTTGGTGCTGTGTAACCTGTGGACATATTGCAAGACGAACTAACTTCCTCTGTTGAGCAGACACATCTAAGATGTTGCATACTTTTTTGAGAGAATTCAAGGTAAAAGTTTCCATATAAAGTGGCTTATCAACAGAAAGACATGGCGTACTTACTGTAGATAATGCTTGCTTCATAAGAAAGGCTGTGGCGATAGGCTTGAATGTACGCATGCTCTGGAGAAGAAACTCGTCATTCACAGTGCATTTGTCGTGGAGATTAACCAATTTTCCATTGATTAGGTCTAAATTCTTTAGCAATGGGGTCAGCTTGATTAGTTTTGGGAGGGCTTTTTCACGCCACTCGGAAGATTGAGGATCCAAGTGTGATTCAGTGAAGGAGTGATAAGAGATTGCGTTAAGATGCACAACACCAGTTAAATTCTTGGTTCTGAGAGGACCAGGACCTGGGACATGAAAATGGCTCCGTACGTGTTTAAATGCCTTCATTAGAATATAAGAAATTCACCACATCTAGTTGGGTAATTTCATCGAACAGTTGGTGGGCATTTGGTTCGAAGTGAGTCGTATGTACCATTAACGGAGTATGCTTCAGAAAGAATCTACTCACTTATCCCAGATCGACGTACGAAGATTAGTTTTAGCTACTCACGTATGGAGTTCGTCGCCTTGATTATTGCACCTGAAAGGGGGATCAGCCCGTGTTTTATAATTTATACTTATCCAATAAAAACACATCCGATATATAATAAAGACAAAACTATAAATTTTGTATTATGGTTTGCAAAAAAATACGGACGGGTTCAAAAAGTTTCCTGCACAATGGTCCAAAATTAGGAGTTTTCTGTCAATTTGGTCCTAAAATTAAGAATTTTCCGTAAATTAGGTCCCAAAATTATTTTATGTGAGTTTGGTCCTTATAAACTTGAAAAGACGGTTTTGCCTTTTCATTTTTTATATATTTATTAAAAATATTTTTAACTTTTTATTTTATAGTTTGTTAGCTTTTAGAAAAGGGTTATTGTTACTATAGCCCAACAAACTTCCATATATTGGTTTAAATGGTCACTCGTGACTATTTTTTGCATTTGAGGGGCACGTACTTTTGTTTTACCGTTTGAAAATGTCCGTTTACCCATTTTAGCAGGTAATCCTGCCTAGTCACCTGCCAAGTAAGCAGGTTAGTGAATACATATAACTTGGTGAGTCAGCACAAACTCACTAATGAGTCGACTCGATAGGAAAGAAGGAAGCTTTTCTTCTACAACAATGGCAGTCGATTGCGTAGGAGTTCAAACTGTTGATAATCTCAATCGAATGTTTCAGTTAACGAATCATGATTTTAACGTTTCCTCTAATTACAAGCAATCGGTATCTGGCTTAAAATGCATCGGTCACGCTCGATTCCGCTGCGACTGTCGTTGTCTTCTTCCACCGACAGTCAAGGGACTTCTACTTCTTCACAATCAGAGGAGAAACAGCAGGATGCGCCGTTGACGACGTCCAAGGCGTGTTTTTTAAGATATGGTGTAGCGCTGACAATCCTGCTGCTTCTTTAGACAGATCTGGAAGGGAGAATCGTTCAAACGGTTACCAGTGTTGCAAGAGAAGGTATGTGTATACATTTGAGCAAAAAACTATCCTATTTGTCTTTCGTATGCCTCATAATTCATAAATTAATATGTTTATTCTCTTCCGTTCTCATGACAATCGAATCAAAACGTGAAATAAGGAGAGTACCGATCATCAGATCTAAGGTCACAAGTATACCGGTCGACGATTATTCATGGAAGAAATACGGCAAGAAGAAGATCGATGGATCAAATTATCCAAGGTAATTTACTAATTTATTACAGCTTTCTTCAATTGAATGACAAATCGAAACCGAATACTAAAATAATGAAATAATTAAAGCTTCTGATCTTCAAAGAGATTGATATTAATTCTGATTTCGATTTCAAATGTGCAGAGTATATTACAAGTGCAATACCGGAGAGTACCAATTTGCTCCAAGGTAGGATGGCCCAAATGAAAACTAGGGTAAACATTATCACACCCACATGGCAATGACCTGGAGCAATGACGTGGAATTGACAAAGTGCAATGTAGGATGGGTGTCACCGGGTGACCCTTCAATTTTTAAAAAGTGACCTTTTAAAACATAAAAACATAAGTATGTGCCCCTCAAATGCAAAAAATAGTAAAGTTTGTTGGGCTACAGTGACAATAAACCTTTAAAAAAAAGGTTTGGTTAAGCTTATGCAAAACCGCTATAAACTAATAAGTCTTTTTTTGTTTTTGACATGTGTAAAATCGTACACGATCTTTCCCGTTTTGCATCTCTGTGATACATAAAGACCATAAGATAAATTGATAATTGAATGTATCTAAAGTAACTGAAAGCAGGAACCAAAATGAGATTAACATTCACAGAAACGAAAATCAGATTCACATTCATAGAAACCAGAGAACCAAATCAGTTGCATCAATTCACTTTCATGGCATTGATCAAAGTGGGTGTCCAGATTTCAATTGGAAAAATAACAACAGATTCCATCGCCTGGAGTCCAAGGTAACAGAAAGAACATGCTAAGGTTCAAATCAGATGCATCAATTAACAGATACCAGAGAACCAAAATGGTTACAAAAAGCAGGGGTCGAAGCTATGCAGGGGAAACAACAGAAAACAGGTGGGAAATGGAAGAAAGATGAATCCAGCGAAATTTCTAGAAAGAGCGACAGCAGAGAAAAAAAAAGGATGAACGAATGCAGGAAGAAACGAACCTGTAGTTGTGGGGTCGAAGGTCTCCGGTAGCTGTGGGGTGCGTCGCCCCGGCCGGTGGCTTCACAGGAAAGAGACGATGGAGAGAAGCTTCACAGGAAAGAGGCGTCTTTTGTTGTGTCGCTGTTTGTGTTCTGTATAAGGTGCATTAGGTTTTGGTTTTGGGTATATTGGTCAATTATTCAAAATAGTGACTGATCGTAGGTGTTAGTTTACATGAGAGATTGAGAGAAGCAAACGATTGATCGTGGGGAAGAAGGGGACGAGTAAGGATGAACCCTAATTTGCGCCAGTATGCGATCTAAACGCTTTATAACGTGCGCCCTTCTTATCCAGCGCCGTTGTGCTTCCAAACAGTACGCATGCCAGGTGTGTGCATAAAACCGCACAATCCGCATAAACCGCTCGCACCGCACCAGACCGCACCGCATAATACGGTTTTCAACATTCACGGTGCAGTTCGCGGTCTGTAATTTTCGTAAACCGCAATATGCGGTGCGGTTTGCGGTTTTTTGATAGAAAACCGCGGTTCAAACCGCACCACACCACATA